GAAAACAGTCACTTGCAGAAGAGAACCTCCACCACGGCAGCAACGAGAGGTGGATCTGTTGTGTGTGGATTTGGGTTGCCCTTGCTCTTGTGATGGGCTGTCTTTTGTTGGAGTTTGCTTTATTCTGTCTTTGGAAGCTGGGTGGTTTCCTCTGGGCTTCAAGAGGAGATGCTTTGTGCTGAGGAGGGAATGGTTGAAAGCCACGGGTGTGTTTCTGTGTCTTTCAATGTGCTTTGGAGCCTCCTTAGTGCTGTGTTGGGTCTGTTTGCCTGTGTGCTGTCATAGAATGGTTTGGGTTGGAAAGGACCTTAAGATCATCCAGTTCCAACCCCCCTGCCATGGGCAGGGACACCTCGCTCTAAACCATCTCACCCAAGGCCTCATCCTACCTGGATGGTGTTGGTTTGCAGGATCTGACATGGTGCTGGGGCCTGTGTACTGCATAGGTATCAGTGGCAGCTCTGGCCTTGTGAACAGGAGGAGATTGTTCTTGCTCTTGTGTCTTTGGTGTGTTCCCCCCTTGACCCAGCAGTGCTGAGGTTGCCTAAGTCTGGGCTGCTTGGGTTGAGAAGCACACGAAGCTCTTGTCCACCTGCGGACCCCTTTGTCCAAATCAACCCACTGTGTTTATGGGCAAAGAGGAGCTGGTTAAAACTGGGGAGGGTGTAAACAGGCCCAGGCTGGTTGGGCTGATGGTCTCTGCTTTGTTTCTTGCTGTGTGCAGGCTCTCTTTGTGCTCTTCATCCTGGCGTACATCCACATCGCCTTCTCCCGCTCGCCCATCAACTGCCTGGAGCACGTGCGTGACAAGTGGCCGCGCGACGGCATCCTGCGGGTGGAAATCCAGCGCAATTCCAGCCGAGCCCCCATCTTCCTGCAGTTCTGTGGTGCTGACAAGTTCCCAGGGATGGTGGTTGAACCCCCGGCTGAGGAAGAGGAGGAGGAAGAGGAGGAAATGACAGTGGATATGTTTGAAAACAGCTCTGTCAAGGTAAAGGCGCGTTCCTGGCATACGCAGGACCTGGGAACCTGGCTGTGGGTTTGGGGGGACAGTGGTTTGGTAGTGCAGTCCCTCTGTGATCCCTCAGTCATCTGGGAGCAGGGTGTGTTCCTTGGCTTTTCCTGAACTCTCACAGCAGCCTCTGATGATAGAATCATAGAACAGTTAGGATGGGAAGGACCTTAAGATCATCCAGTTCCAACCCCCTGCCATGGGCAGGGACACCTCGCACTAAACCATCTCACCCAAGGCTTTGTCCAACCTGGCCTTGAACACTGCCAGGGATGGAGCATTCACAACCTCCCTGGGCAACCCATTCCAGTGCCTCAGCACCCTAACAGGAAAGAACTTCCTCCTTAGATCCAATCTAAACTCCCCCTGTTTAAGTTTTAACCCATTACCCCTTGTCCTGTCACTACAGTCCCTAATGAAGAGTCCCTCCCCAGCATCCCTATAGGCCCCCTAAGTTGATTTAAGATAGTAAAGTCTGAGGAAGGGGCCTCTTATGTTCCCCTTTTGGTGCTGGGGGCACAGAGGGAGTGCAGAAAACTGGAGCTTTGGGGGTTTGCTAACATGCTTGCCATGATTTTCCAACAGTTTGAGCTGGATATCGAGCCCAAGGTGTTCCTTAAGCCATCCCGGGTGAGCAGCACCGAGGCGCTGACCCACAACGAAAGCCAGGAGTTCTCATTTAGTGAAGCAGCCACTAAAGGTATGGAGCCTCTGAGGGAGACTGTGTCCGAGTTTGAGATGCTAGCCAGAGCAGGTAAAGACAACTTCCACTGCTATCTGTGCCCCTCCCTCCCTGCCCTGTGCATCCTTCCTGCACGTCTCCTTCCCTCTGGCTTCCCTGGGCACGTGCATAGTAACCTTAAATGTTTTCCCTGATGTGTTTGCCTGTGATTAATTGTGTCAGTACTAACAGTAGATCCACAGCTAGACCTTCCCTTTGGCTGGGAGTTGGGGGTTGCCTGGGCTATAAAATATGCTGAAGCCTCTTGTTCTGACCCCATCTTTCTGCAGTGATGGGTGGTGGATATCTGAGACAAACATGAACCTCCCTCCTTGAGCTGGTCTCTTTCCTCTTGAGGTCTGCAGGGTGGCAGTGACAGAGCACGTTCCTCCTTGCATTAAGGGTTTGGGCTTGTATTTGGGTCCCTGAGTCAACACCAGGGCTTGGAAGAGGGCCAGTTAATCCCCAAAGCCACCAGGCGGGTTTTAGAGCATTGCGAGATACAGCACTGCTGCTCTGCATCTGCATCATCCTGCTCATCCCTCCCTCGTCCCAGCAAGGCTAAGCTGCTGATGCTTCATAAACTCAAGGGAGGTTTTAGTGGCTTTATATTATCCAAAATGGAATTCCAGCGTTGGAAAATTTATTTCAAGTGGTTAGGGATGGAAATCTATTTAAAAGTATTTATGTTAAAGTAGATTCGTTGGATTAGTTCTTAATTTGCCTTTTTCACCTCCACTTTTATCCTTGGAAAGGCTGGAATTCTTTGCTGTTCAGAAGGACTGGATATTGCTGAGGATTGTGAGGCTGGGCATTGCCTTGGCACTGTTCCCTTGCTCCTGCAGTGATTTTGCTTGATGCTGATCTAGAACTCGTTAGTCTTGGATTTAAGATCCTCAAGTCACAGAAGACTAGAGAGCAGTGACTATTTTTGGTGCAATACCTTTATTGGTAGCTGCTGAAGCTGAGCTGGGTGCACTGATGGGCTGTGTCTTGATTTGCAGAACTCCTGGTTGGAAGTGATCCAGCAGCACAGTGGGGGAGAGAATTTGTGCTGCTTCCCGATGTGATTTAACAACTGATCCTTCAAAAGGATCCCAGAGCCTCAAATCCCTGCTTTTACTGTTTGTTTTCTTTCCAGGTTTTTTGTGCTATAAGTACACCAAATCTGATGTTTAGACAGACTGTTTTCCCCTAGAAAGCTGTACTTGCTCCTGCCTTTAGCTCTGAGGTTTGTCACTGCAGGGGTGAGCAGTGCGTGCTCTTGCCCTGTGCCATGTTTACTTGGTGCTCAGCAGGTGTAATTGTATTTTCCTGCTGTTTTCTAAACAACATAGAAAGCAGAAGTGGAACAGAGTAAGAACAAGTGCTCTTGGGCTTGTCAGGCAGGGTTTGGAAGCAAAAGTAATGTCCAAGAACATGTATTGACTCATTCTTAACGGGTTGAAGGAAGCCCAGAGCCTGTGCCTGCAACCCATTGCCTTCTCAGAATGTGGTGGGAGGGAATCCAGAGGTGATGTTGCTTTTTGATGCTGTTTCAAACCCTGCAGTTGAGTGTCCCTTCCCACCCTCTCTTGCAGTGTGGCCGCAGGAGGAGTACATAGTGGAGTACTCGCTGGAGTACGGGTTCCTGCGCCTGTCGCAGAGCACTCGGCAGCGCCTCAGCATCCCCGTTATGGTGGTGACTCTGGGTGAGTGCTGGAGCTGGTGCAGGGGTGGGTGACTCCGGGTGAGTGCTGGAGCTGCTGCAGGCAGGGGTGGGTGAGTGCTCTGCAGAGGTTCCTACGCCCCAGTGCCTCTTTAGTCTTGTGGAAACTATTTATAACGGTTGATGGCGCTCCTTGCCCACGCAGGAGAGCTGCTTTATGGAGCCTCGATTGCTTTAGTAGGTCATACCTTTGCAAGAGGAGGAGTCTGAAATGGTGGAGCCTGTTTCAGCAAGCCCCAGTGTTGTGTCCAGCACAGCTTCCTCACTGAGGAAGGAAAAGGCTTGTGGTACTGAAGATTTAGGCTCAGCATGGAGCAGCAACAGCATCACAGTGTTAAGAGTCCAGCAGTGGGAGCAGTTGTGTGTCAGGGACAGTACTGAGCAGATCTTAGCACTGTCTCCACATGGTTCTTGTCCCTGTGAGCAGCAGCAGACCATTTCCCTGAAGTGTTCTCTTCTCCTTGCATTTATAGAATCATCAGGAATATGGTTTCAAGCCTTCCCAGGCCTGTGAACTAAATTGATGTGTGATGAGCTGTTAATGCAGCAATGGGACTAGATTTCATTCCTTACTCCTAATCAAGCTGAGTTACAGCTGGACTGGAGTATTAAGCAGTTCTTCTGTACAGGCAATGGGCAGTTTCCCTGTTAAACGTCTGTTTCCTGACCTGGGTTTTCCAATTCAGCTAGAGAAATTCCTTCATTAGTACTTACTGAGAAATTCCTTGTGTTCATGCTTCCTGTTTTGCTTAGATCTGAGTTATTTTTACAGGCTTCATGAGATGGAATTGAGCAGCCTAGAGCCATGGGGAGGTGTTGGTGTGTCCTCCACTGCAGGAGGGTGGATGGGGCTGGTGGGTCCAGCAGTGTCATGTTGAGGCCAGCTCATGGCTAAGAAGTCCTGGCCTGGCCCTGTGAGTCTTACTGGAACTTGTTTCTCTGGGCCATTAGCTGGGGTGAGCCCAGGGAAATAGTCCAAGGCTAGAAGGCAAATTCCTTTCATGTCAGTGGCAGCAGAGAGTGTGAGAGTCCTGATGGAATCCTTGAGGCCTGGCTGACATTAGCATTTTGACAGCCTGGCTGGATCTGTCAGGGTGTGATGTTTTCCCTCCCTGTCCTGCCCAGTTTATACCGCCACAGGTCTGAGCACAGACAGGGGTCTGGTGGCACACGGCTCCTTCTGAGTGATAAGAAGACTCTGTCTGCCTTGCTGCCTCCTCTGTGGCTTCAGATGGGGACAACCTGAATGGGTTTTTGTCTTCTCTCCAGATCCTACCAGGGACCAGTGCTTTGGGGACAGGTTCAGTCGCCTGTTGCTGGATGAGTTCCTGGGTTATGATGATATCCTGATGTCAAGTGTCAAAGCTTTAGCTGAAAATGAAGAAAACAAAGGTAAGGCTCAGAGGGATCAGCAGAGCAGTTGATGGTTTTTTCTGTAGATGCATGAATGTCATCTTCTGACTATTGATTCATCTCTAATGAAGGGAATGGCTCCCTGTGTTATGTAGAGATGTTATTGTCAAGGACAGAACGAGACAAGCAGGAGGGGAGAGGTGTCTGCAAACGTGACTTCCTGCTGCCTCACTGCACTGCATAACAACAGCAGTGCTGCTGAGGAGCTGTTGCTGCAGATCCTGTTCCTTTAGAAGGCTCTGGAAGTTTGTTCTTAGGTGATGGGTGAATCACACTGAGCTTGTGTGTTTTGGGTTTCTCTTCAGGTTTCCTTCGCAACGTGGTCTCTGGGGAGCACTATCGCTTTGTCAGCATGTGGATGGCCAGGACTTCTTACCTGGCAGCCTTCGTCATCATGGTCATATTTGTAAGTTGACAGCAGTTGGGCACTGCCTGGACTCTGAGCCTCATGTTTGAAAGCAACAGCCCAGGCCTGAGCTCTCATCTGCTTTTAAAGCTCAGCTGATGGAGCAGGAGGTTCTTGTCTTTGTGATGCTTCTTTTTTTTCAGTGTGGGTTTTAAAGTTCTAACACCGAAACAGAGGAGCTGAAACAGGATGAAGTGATGGTTTGCTTGTCCAAAGGGAGATTCCTGTTAGAAAGGCTCTGAGCAGTTAAACCACTTGGGCTGCCAAGGCACTGGGTGTGGAAGTTTGTCCTCTGAGACTTCCAAGAACAGGCCTAATTTGCCAAGAGTGCTAAAGATAGATCCAGGTCTCCTGTGACTGTGTGAGATGAGGTGATTACAGAGCAGCGTTAGATGAGATCCCAAGGGATACCAGCCTGTGTTCCTGGGTAGCTGTCTCTCTTCGTGTCTGTGCACTGGTGCAGTATGGTACTACTGGCGAACTGGAAGGGGAAATGAGAGCTGGTGGCTGTTGTCAAGCGGCCCTATGAGCTGGTGGGAGGAGCACACATGGAGGATGGGGAGAAACTGGGGTTCCAGCCCTGTTCCTGTTTGGTTTGGCCCCTTCAGAATTGGTCTCTATACAAAGTGCTGACAGTCTCCTCACTGCAGTGACACAAAGAGGAGTTGCTCTTCGTGAGGTCTGCACCCCTCAAATGGATGAGCATGGGCTACACACCGTGTGCTGGGCAGCACAGCAGGCCCAGGCTTGTCTGGCCAGGCTGGAGAGGGTGATTCTGGTGGTGACTGCTGGGCCTCTGTGGCTCTAACACTGGTTTCTGCTCTCGTGTTTCAGACTCTGTCCGTTTCGATGCTGCTGCGCTACTCGCACCATCAGATCTTTGTCTTCATTGGTAAGGATTTTGGAGGGGTTTAGGGTGTGCTGCACGCTGTGCCTGCTCCAACACAGAGCATGGAGCCCCTGTCGTTGGTTTAGAAGGCTCATGTGTAGCTGCACAAGGACTATATCTCCCTATGGCCCTGTGAGCAGGCTTGGAGAGCTCTTCTGTCTCTGACAACGTCAGGAACAGCAGCCTTGGGACACTGGACTTCACTGCATGTTGCAGTGCTCTGACTGGGGAGCAGCATGGGATGGAGGGTCCCGTGGCCTCACAGCCACTTCGTGTCATAGCCTCTTTTCCTTCTTGCAGTTGACCTGTTACAGATGCTGGAAATGAACATGACAATTGCGTTCCCTGCAGCTCCCCTCCTCACTGTCATTCTGGCTCTCGTAGGTAAGGACGTGAGCTCACTTCTTGTGCTGTGCAGCATGTCCCATTGGGATCTGCAGGAAGCCTGACCTGGCCACAGCAGGTAGTTCATGTGGCACCTTGTGAGGACTCTGATGGCACCCTGAGCTGCATCGTCCTTATGGGTCCCCAGAAAGCAGCTCATTTGGAACTCAGTTCGTTTCACATTCATGCTGCATTAGCACAGTTTGAGTGTGAAAAGCCCCCTAAACCTCCCCACAATCTGCAGTGTCTGGAGCCAGCTGATATCTGCCCTGTGCAGTGGCTGCAGGCAGCAGTGAACATGTGTGCCCTTCGCTGCTGCTTTAGGGCAGCTTGGTTCTGCTGTGGCCTGTGCTGCACGGCCACCAAGCCTCTGCTCTGAGCTGCCAGGATTCCCTCCCATGCCCCTCATGTGGCTGCTCTGTCCTGCAGGGATGGAGGCCATCATGTCTGAGTTCTTCAATGACACCACCACCGCCTTCTACATCATCCTCATCGTGTGGCTGGCCGACCAGTACGATGCCATCTGCTGCCACACCAATACGAGCAAGAGGCATTGGCTCAGGTAAGGGCTGCCTGGGGCCTCCTTCCCATGTTCTCACCACGTGTCCTCATCTCTGGTGGGAAAGGGGCTGCTTCAGATCCCTTCCAGCCATCCCAGGCAGCAGTGCTTCTGCTGAATGCTTCTGTGGGAGCTGCCCTGTGTGTCACAGGGCCCAAAGTGCAATTGCTTCCACTTTGGGCTTGTGCCTGGATGTCAGGAATCGCCTCAGTCCTTTCCCTGCCCTTTGTTCTGCCCTGTTGAAGACTTGTTCATAACAAGGCAATTGGAATGAGCTGTTAATTGGAGTCTGCAGTGCCCTGTGCACCCTGCCCCAGCTCGGAATGGAGCTGGGAGCAGACAGACACTCACGTTTGTCCTGTCCATTGCCATAGCCTGATGATTTCTGCCTTCCTCTCCAGGTTCTTCTATCTGTACCACTTTGCCTTCTATGCCTACCACTACCGATTCAACGGGCAGTACAGCAGCCTGGCCCTGGTCACCTCCTGGCTCTTCATCCAGGTGAGTAGCTGCCACTTGTGCTGCACGTTGATGCAACCAGCCCAGAGGCAGGAGCCCACTGTGTGACTTCAGCCCTGGTTACCACACACCTCACAGGGGTCTGGCTTTATCTGACTTGTTGTCAAGCTGAAGTCTGAGCAGTGATCTTCATGTAGGAGATGGAAATAATCCCTGGTTTGGAAATGGAACAGCAGGAAGAGGCCATCGGACAGGAGGGCTTCTTGGCCACTGGCTCAGATCCAGCCATGCGACTGACAGTGGTTGATGTCACTTGTTAGGGAAGGGTTTCTGTCCTGGCTTTCAGAACATCCCACCAAGGATCCCCCTTGAAGAGGCTGAGGAGCTGGTCAGGTCTCTGCAGTGCAGAGACCAGCCCCAGACTGAGGTCTCCAAACTGGTTCAAGCAAACCTTTTAGAATCATAGAATGGTTTGGGTTGGAAAGGACCTTAAGATCATCAAGTTCCAACCCCCTGCCATGGGCAGGGACACCTCGCTCTAAACCATCTCACCCAAGGCCTCGTCCAACCTGGCCTTGAACACTGCCAGGGATGAAGCATTCATTGTGTGTATTGCTGGTGTCCTGCCCCTTTCTCTGCTGCCACCAAGTCAGGGGAGGAAGGTGGGCTAGAGAAATGCCTTCACCCTTCCAGTTGTCAACCCTTACAAGGGAAGAGGGGTTGTGTTTCATTGCAAACTGTACATGTAGCTTGCAGGAGTTGTAGTAGAAGGGATAAATCTTTCCACAATGTCAGATAACTTCATTAGGAACTGCAGTGACAGGACAAGGGGTAATGGGTTCAAACTTAGGGGAAGTTTAGATTGGATATAAGGAGGAAATTCTTTCCTGTTAGGGTGGTGAGGCACTGGAATGGGTTCCCAGGGAGGTTGTGAATGCTCCATCCCTGGCAGTGTTCAAGGCCAGGTTGGACGAGGCCTTGGGTGAGATGGTTTAGAGCGAGGTGTCCCTGCCCATGGCAGGGGGTTGGAATTTGATGATCTTAAGGTCCTTTCCAACCCAAACTCTTCTATGATTCTATAACCTGGTGGTCAGAGCAGCTGATCTCTCCAGTAATGAGGAGAGGAAAGTGTTCTCTCAGGTGTGTTAGCCCCAACGAGTGACTCCTTTCCCTTTTGCCTTCTCTAGCACTCCATGATTTACTTCTTCCACCACTACGAGCTGCCGGCCATCCTGCAGCAGATCCGCATCCAGGAGATGCTGCTGCAGAACCAGCAGGTGGGCCAGGGCACCCAGACCACGCTGCAGGACAACCTCAACAACAACACCACCGCTGCCCCCATCGACGGGGGGAGCCGCAGACCCCCCCTGCCCGCCGGCCCCTCGGGGGATGGGGCCACCCCACCCACCCTGGCACCCAGCACGGCCTCCACCGCCGGCAGTGACCTCAACTGGGTGGCAGAGACGGCCGCCATGGTCACCGAGGCCTCCTTCCTGTCCGAGCTGAGCACCACCCTGCTGGAGCCCAACGTGGTGCACGAGGCCACGGCCACCGGGAGCCCCCCTCAGGACGCTGCCTCCGCCTTGGTCGCCCGCATCAGGGTGAGCAGCGAGCACCCGGAGACGGCCGTGGGCTCCATCACCATTGAAGTCACCTCCACGTCTGTGGTGGCTGCAGCGGATGCACCCCCAGACCCACAGCAGGAGGAGGGGGGCTCTGTCCCCAGCAGTCCCCTCCTGGAGCAGACTGAGGCTGTGGAGGGCTCGGGCAGCAGCAAGGACTGTGCTGGCAGCAGCGTGGCACAGAGCAATGCAGCCTGTGCTGAGGACACGGAGCAGGACAGGCGGTCAGGGCACAGCAGCCCTTGCCCAGCACCAGCAGAGAGCCCCCCCTGCCCGCAGCCTCACTTGAGGAGCCTGTCTTGAGCCCCTGTTTCTGGCATCCTGGACTGCCGGGGAGGCATTTGGATTTTCCTTTGTTACCGTTTCTCACTTCACCATCATCCTTAACCCATGAATCCCTCTTTAGTGCAGAGGTGGAGCAGCCGGGATAGAGAAGAGGTGCTGCAGTGACCTCCCCTGGGAAGAGCCTGTGTGTGCTTGGGTGTGAGAGCCTGATGGACACGGGACGAGGCAGCCGCTCTGGGTCCCTGCCCCAGCTTTTCCCCTTTGCCCCCTGTGTTCATGTTTGCAGCCTGGATCTCAGCCATGAGCTGGTTTGGGACAGAGCGTGCGTGCTTCATGTTAGAATAGCAGCTGCGTGCGGACAGGGAGTGGGTTTTCAGACCCCCCTCGGGAAAGCCAAGAGAAACCTGATCACCTCCCCTTCTCCTTAGGGGGGAAAAGGAGCTTCAGCCTTTCCCCAGAGACTGCATCTGCTGCTGCCAGGGCAAAGCTGGGCAATAACCAAAGCCGAAGCTGCAGTTCAGCCCCATCTTTTCTGTCCTCGAGCATCTCCCAGCCCATGGCTTTGGGATGGAAGCTGCTGTGTCCAGGTGGGAGCTTCCATCGCAGGTGAGAGGCGTTTGGGCAGTGCTGGCCTCTGTGCCACTGGTGACTAGTGCAAGTGGGAGCTTGGCCTCTCTTGCCTGCCACAGCCAGCAGAAAGCAGGGGAAAATGGGCTCAGGTCATATCCACTGGGAGCCTGTGGGGACGGTTGGGGACAGCAGCTCTGCCCTGGGGATGGTGTTTGCTTTTCAGTGCCTTGTCCCTGCCATGGGACACGTCTGTGTCCAAGCTCAGCCCCATCCCGGCGCAGAGAGCCCCTTTTCCCTGGCTCAGCTCTTGCAGGGGGGGGTTTAGCAGAGAACCAAAAGGAGCCAAAACATTTCAGCTGATCCCCTTCCTTTCCCCATAAGCTGCCTGTGTCCAACCCCTTTGCCCTGCGCCTGCTGGGCTGGGGGACAGGGATGGGCTGGCCTCACACCAGGGTTTGCAGGGGCAGGTAGAGGGGGGGATGCTCGGGGCTGCAGCACGGCCATAGGGCTGAGAAGAGGAGGAGGAACAAGGTGGAGAAGGGGGGTGCTGCCCCCCAAGGTCAGAGTCACCTCCCTGCCCCTGGAGGTGCACGTTCCAGCATCCTGCACCAGGAAAAGGTTTCCCTGTTGGTGCCAGGGGCTCAGAGCCCCCCCCCCCAATTCACTATCTCTGCATTTCCCACCCCAAGGCCCCCCTTTTCTTTGTGTTTGGCCTCAAGGAGCCCCGGGTGTTGCTTTTTGGGGGGGGGGACACCCTGCTCATGACCGGGCCCAGGCAGAGCTGGGGGCTGCTGAGCAGAGGGTGGGAGGGGGGGGAAAACCAAACCAAATGCTTTGATGACTGAAGAGTAGAGTTCATTCTATTTAATTAATGTACAAAATGTGTTTGTATATAATAATAAATATGATCTCTAACGCTGCTGCCATGGGGGGGCTGCAGCCGCGCTGCTGCAAGCAGGGCTCGGAGGAGCATCCCACAGGGATGCACCAGGGGAGAGGCTGCGGGCAGGGAGGATGTGGCTGTGCTGTCCCAGCTGCCCACAGCTGGATTGGGGGGTTATTTCCTCCCCTGGCCCAAGCAAGGGGCTTTTCCCTGGTCCACAGGGGTCGGCGCATCCCTCTCTGCATCCCTCTCTGCATCCCTCTCTGCATCCCTCTCTGCATCCATCTCTGCATCCATCTCTGCATCCATCCATGGTGCCGCTGGAGGTCAGCTCCTGGAGGGGCTCTTGGGACCTGTGCTGCTGCCACATCGCTGCGCTGTGGGGTGAGGGCTACTCACCTTCCTCCTCCTCCTCCTCCTCCTCTCTGCTGCTCTGTGGGTGCCTGCGGTGGAGGGAGGGGAAGCGTTACCCTCGCCCCGAGTGTTGCTGCATTGAGGATGCAGCTGGAAGGCAGAAAGCAGCCGTTAGTTGTCTCCATCATCTTTGTGGTTGTGGCTTAATCCCCCGGCCTTGAGGAAGGGGCTGTGGGGGCCTCATATCCCATCCCATTGCTTAAACCCCCATACCAAAGCTCACATTCCATCACTGCCTAAACCCCAATCCCAATCCTCACATCCCATCACTGCCTAAGCCCCCATCCCAAAACACATCCCATCACTGCCTAAACCCCAATCCCAATGCTCACATCCCATCACTGCCTAACCCACCCATCCCAAAACTCGCATCCCATCCCAGAACTTGCATCCCATCACTGCCTAAACCCCAATCCCAATCCTCACATCCCATCACTGCCTAACCCCCATCCCAAAACTCGCATCCCATCCCAATCCTCACATCACTGCCTAAGCCCCCATCCCAAAACTCACATCCCATCACCGCCTAAGCCCCCATCCCAGAACACACATTCCATCCCATTGCTTAAACCCCAATCCCAATCCTCACATCCCATCACTGCCTAACCCCCCATCCCAAAACTCACATCCCATCACTGCCTAAGGCCCCATCCCAATCCTCACATCCCATCACCACCTAACCCCCCATCCCAAACTAAACCCCTCAGTAAGGCTGCTGCCTGCAGTTTAACCCCCAGGAAGGGGAGATGAAGGAGCTGGGGGGGCAGACACAACCCCACAACACCCCCTCTCCATCCTCCCACCCCAAAGCCCTTTTCCTTCCATCCCTCCTCCCTTTCCCTCCACTCCAATGAACGGGACCCCCCCAACGATGCCTCCATCACCTCCCGGGGGCCGTGCCCAGCGCAGCCCCCAGCTCTCTCCTCCGGGCCAGTGCCGCCCGCAGCCGCTCCCGCAGCTCCCGGATGCTCCTCTCCAGCTCCCGCAGCTCCCGCTCCAGGGGCCCGCTCCCGGGGGGCTCCTCGGCCTCCAGCTGGAAGCGCACCCGACGCCTGCTCCAGGGCCTCGGCTGCGGGGCGCACCTTGGGAAAGGGGGGGGGGGAGCGTTGAGATGGACCCCCCCCCCCCATAACAAGGGGTGCGATGGGGAGCTTAAAATGAACCAGGGTGGAAAAGATCTTTAGGGTCACAGAACCGCAGCATCATTGGGTTGGAAGGGAGCTTAGAGTTCCTCCAGCTCCTGCCATTGGGACCCCTTCCACTGGAGCAGCTTGCTCCAAGCCCCTGTGTCCAACCTGCCCTTGAGCGCTGCCAGGGGTGGGGCACCCTGTGCCAGCACCGTTTTGGATGCGGAATCATTCCTGTATCCGATCCAAATGTACAGGAGGAGCGGGGCAGCACCCGTACCTCTGCTCCAAGCCCAGCCTCCGGCCCTCCTGCTCCTCTGTGTTCAGAGCCCGGTGGATTTTCTATGGGGAACAAAGGATGCGTGAGCCGGGGAGCGGATGAGGATGAGCGAGGGAAGGGGGAGCAGCAGCACCTGGCTCGTGTGCAGCCAGTAATTGAACTTCTTCTTGCGCTTGATGCGGGGCAGGACGAGGCGGTAGAAGACGTGTTCCCCCAGCGAGGTGAGCAGCGAGGTGCTGAGCCCGATGCAGAGCAGCACGAAGAGCCCGGAGAAGTGGTAGATCCCCATCTGCAGGGTCTATGGGGGGAACAAAGGGGAAGCGGTGGAGCTGGGCTCTGTGGGGCTCAGACCCCCAGAACCATCCCCTCCACAGCCCCATCATGAGCCCAGCACCTCGGTGACGGCGAGGACGCGCTTCCCGCATGGCACCATCTTGTACCACTTGTCATGGAGGAGGTCGATGAAGCCGGAGGACTTGTACCAGCTGATGAGCTTGGAGATGTTGGAGGTGAGCGGTGAGTTCTGTGGGAGGCCGATGCCATAGCCTGGCCCCGGGGACAGAGCGCTGGGGAGCTGGGGAGCAGGGCAGCGTCCCCCCGGCATGGCCCCATGGGAGCCACGGGCAGAGCACACACATATGGGCACATATGGACACATAGAGACACGTATGGGCACATACAAATACATACAGACACATACGGACACATACAGACACATATGGACACATACGGACACATACAGACAGATATGGACACATACAGACAGATACAAATCCATACAGACACATACGAACATATACAGACATATACAGACAGGTACAGACACATGGACACATACGGACACATATGGACACATAGATACACATAGGGACACAGATACACATAGAGACACATATGGACACATACAGACACATACGGACACATATGGACACATATAGACACATGCGGACACATACGGACACATACAGACATATACGGACACATACAGACAGATACAGACACATACGGACACATATGGACACATACTGACATATACAGACAGATACAAACACAGACACATACAGACATACAGACACATACGGACACATACGGACATATACAGACAGGTACAAACACATACAAACACATACGGACACATATGGACACATAGATACACACAGAGACACATACGGACACATACAGACACATATGGACACATACAGACATATACAGACACATACGGACACATACAGACACATACAGACACATACGGACATATACAGACATACAGACACATACGGACACATACAGACAGATACGGACACATACAGACATATACAGACATACAGACACATACGGACACATACAGACATATACAGACACATACGGACACATACGGACATATACAGACAGATACAAACACATACAGACACATATGGACACATACGGACATATACAGACACATATGGACACATACGGACATATACAGACAGATACAGACACATATGGACACATACGGACATATACAGACACATACAAACATATACAGACACATACAGACACATATGGACACATACGGACACATATGGACACATACTGACATATACAGACAGGTACAAACACAGACACATACAGACACACACAGACACATACAGACACATATGGACATATATGGACACATACTGACATATACAGACAGGTACAAACACATACAGACACATACAGACACATATGGACATATACAGACAGGTACAAACACATATGGACACATACGGACACATATGGACACATAGATACACATAGAGACACATATGGACACATACAGACGCATACAGACACATACGGACACATACAGACACAGACATGTACAGACACATACGGACACATACAAATACATACAGACACATACAGACACATATAAATACATACAGACACATACAGACATACACACATACAGACACACGCAGACACACACACACAAACACACACACACACACACAAACACACGTACAGAGTCCTGTACCCCCCCAGCTCCCCCATGTCCCCCCAGACCTTCAATGGCGAAGGGCTTCCCCACGGTGAGCAGTTTGCAGTCGGAGTCAATGGAGACCTCGTAGTCCAGCAGCGACTTATCCATGATGAAGGCGTTGAGCTTGGGGGGCTCCGTCCTGCACCAGCACAGGGGCACCCTCAGTAACGGGGATGCAAGGGGATGGGGGACACCCCCCCCCACCCCAAAACACAGTCCTGGCCCCTCACTTGAGCATGGTGATGCCGGCGGGGGTGTTGGGGACGTTGTGGCGCCGCATGTGCTCGTGCATCTCCGGGAAGCTCTTCTTGATGTACTCCTCAGCGCTGCTCTCCCACACGGTGCCGAAGCAGAAGCCCTGCGAGGGGTGATGCAGCTGGAAGGAGGCAGCAGAGCATCAGTGGGGAACAGCCCCAGCTCCCTAGGGATGCATCCCAAGGGGGCCTTTAATGCGCTATCCCATTGGGGAAGGTGCAGCAAGGACCTTGCTCCCACCCCATCCAAAGCAACCTGGACCTTATCCCACCTTTGGGTCGTGGATGCCCGAGAGCTCCTCAAAGGTCTTGTCCCCCACCATGACAGCGGCCAGGTTGGCCGTGTAGCTGGAGAGCACCAAGAGGCAGAAGATGGCCCAAAGGTTCATGAGGAAGCGGCCGGTGCAGCACTTGGGGGTCTTGCTGGACACGGTGCGCCCAAAGAGGATGGCGTAGCAGAGGTTGAGGGCTGAGGAGTAGGAGAAGATCTTCATGCGGTTGCGCCCGAGCGGGGTCATGCCATAGGGGCTCTTCCACTCGTATAGGGTGAGGAAGAGGGCTGTCATGTGCAGGGCCACGAAGATGCCCACCCACATGGTCCAATGCAAAGGCCACATGAAGGCCCCGATGGGCGACGCCGTGTCCTTGGTCCTCACCAGGATGCCCAGGCTGGTGGAGAAGAAGGGGCTGGTGAAGTCGATGACTTTGCTCCGCGCTGAGTTGATGCTGAAGGAGGTGACGGCCATGTGGGCCGTGCCGCTGAGCAGGTCCCCCACCAGCCCCGTCCAGCGCCCGTTCTTCCAGGCCCCGTACTTCCCATCGCCCACGATGTAGAGCTCAAAGGCAAAGCTCAGGTCCTCCGCCAGCTTCTCCAGCAGGTCGATGCAGTACCCGTAGCAGCACTTCTTGTACGCCCGCGGCACCGAGCCGTTGCCGGCACCCAGCTCCTCAAAGAGGGCATCCAGCACAGCCGAGTCGTTGGTGCCGGGGTCCAGGCAGAGCTGCCCAACGGGGCAGCTCTCATCCTCATCCACCTCCCTGGTGAACACGAACGGGTGCTCCACCAGCGTCACCACGCGCAGCCGCCGCCGGTTCCCCGCTGCCGCCGCCGTTGCTTCACCGGGGCCGTGGCGCTGGTTCTGCCGAGCACCCTCCTCCAGCTCCAGCCTCCCCCGGTGCCACGACCCCACCGTCCCCCAGGCCGGGGTCCCCCGTGGGTCCCGCTGCAGGCGCCACACGTGGAAGCGCTGCTCCGGCCGCACCAGCACCGAGCTCTGCACCCGCACCGGCCCCGTGTGCCCGTGGAAGGAGGCGTTGGACAGGAACCTGGAGGGGAAGGGGATGGGGGCCGTGAGCCCCGTTCAGGCACTGGCAGGGCCGGGTGTTATTGATGGTAATGACAGTATCACAGTATGTTAGAGATTGGAAGGGGCCTCAAGAGATCATCTAGTCCAATCCCCCGTCCTCATGACACTCCCCCTTTATATATTTACATGCACTAATAAGGTCACCCCTTTATATATTTATATACACTAATAAGGTCACCCCTCAATCTCCTCTTCTCCAAACTATAGAGACCCAGCTCTCAGTCTTTCCCCATAAGGGAGATGCTCCGCTCCCTTCATCATCTCAGTTGCCCTGCGCTGGACTCTCTCCAGCAGGTCCCTGTCCTTGAACTGAGGGGCCCAGAACTGGACACAGTATTCCAGATGGGGTCTCACCAGAGCAGAGTAGAGGGGAAGGAGGACCTCTCTCGACCTACTAACCACCCCCCTTCTAATACACCCCAGGATGCCATTGGCCTTCTTGGCCATGGTAATGGAGCAACCGTGCTTGGGAAGCATTAAAGGAGATGGGAAGTGACATCCACAGTGTCCTCTGCAGCTCTGCACCCCCCTTCCCGGCACCCCAATGTGATGGAACCAGGGAAAGGAGCACCCCAGCACCTCCCTTACCGGGACAGGATGAGCCCCGGGGCCTCGCCGCCCACCGGGCTCCCATTGCTGCAGTTCCCCGTGGTGTGCAGCACAGCAGCACCGGGCCACGTGCGGGATGCGCTGCCGACGGCGCGGGCCACCAGCTCCACCACGTCCTGCACGAAGAGCTCCAGCGGCGGCGGGTTGAGCTCCCCGTAAGCCAGCAGCCCCATGGGCAGCCCCTCGGTGTGCAGCTCACCGGGGCTGAGCGGGGACCCCAGCACCCAGCGCAGCTCCTGCGGCACCAGCCCCGACTCCTCGGCCGTGCGGAAGATGAGCCGGGCGCGCTGCAGGTCGCAGCCCAGCATCAGCACCGGGCTGGAGAGGGCCTTGAAGTGCTCCCGGTGCTGCTGGAGGTAACGGGATGCTCTGGGCTCATCCAGGTAACCGAGGTCCAGGATGGTGCGGAGCAAGAGCTGGGAGCGATGGGCCCAGAGGCTGAGGAAGCCGGAGACGTCCCAGGGGTGGCAGAGGACCAGGTTGGTCTCTTGCCAGTCGTTGGCCTGCAGGATGCTCACCACCACGTCCACCAGTGTCTCCAGTGAGCTCTGCCGGTCCACGTGGAAGTGGAAGGGGCTCTGCAGACACAGAGGGGTTGTGGCTGTGCCCCTGCCCACGGGAAGAGCCCAAAGGCAGCTCCAGCCACGGTCCCTTCCCACCCTGCCCGTGCTCTGCCCGTTCCCTGCCCCATCCAGCAGCAGGGGACTGAGGGGATCCAGCACCGGGACTGGGGCTTTGGGGATGCAGGGATGCTGGAGGAGCCAGGGAAGTTGCCTTGGGCTGAGAGCTGGGATGGGGCTGGGATAGAGTCGGGCAGGGGGCCATGAGAGATGAGATGGGGGCTGGGATGGAGCCAGGATAGAGCTGGGATGGGGGCTGGGATAAAGCCAGGATGGGGCTGGAACGGGGGCCAGGAGTGGGCTGGGATGTTGCTGCGATGGGGGGCAGGATGAAGATAGGAGGGGACCCGGAATGAAGCTGGGATAGACAAAGGATGGGTGCTCAGGATGCGGGTGGCAATGGGGGTGCGATAGGGCTGAGATGGAGCCAGGACAGAGTTGGGATGGAGCCGGGATGCAGCAAGTGCGAGGAGCTGGGATAGAGCCGGGGCTGGAGCTGGAATCAGGCTCGGGACAGGAGCCGGTTTGCGGCTCGCTTTGGAGGGAGATGGGAGCTTGGATGGAGCCGGCCCGGGGTCCTGCTCCCGGTGCGGGGGGTGCGGGTCCTACCTGCGCTGGGCCGGGCAGGAGCCCGCGGGTGTCCCTGATGCTGAGCACGGGGAGCTGCAGGGCGGCGGCGAGGAAGTCGAGCAGGAGCAGCTCCCTGCGGGACCGGGGCAGCGCCAGGACGGCGGCAACGCCGCGCCCCGCCAGCGCCCCGCAGAGCCACCGCACCAGCGAGTGCGGGTCCCGCGCGGCCGGGCCGCCCGCTACCACCTCCAGGCTCAGGTTCCAGGGCAGCGGCGTCCCCCCGGGGCTGGCACCGGCACCGGCACCGATGCTACCGGTACCGGCGGCTCTGAGCAGCGCTGCGCGGAGCCGGGCTCGGCGGGGGGAACCGGGCGGCAGCAGCGCCCCGAGGCGCACAACGGGGCCGGTAGGGGGGGGGCCCGGGACGCGGCAGGGCTGCGGGTGCCCCCCCGCAGCGCCCAGTGCCGCCAGTAGCCACAGCGCCCGCAGCCCCGCCATGAGCCCGCAGCCACCGGGTCCCGCCGCGCTGAGCCCCGACGGGGCGGGCAGGGGGAGGGAGCGGAGCGGGGCGGGGCCGGGAGTGCGGGGGGGGGGGCTCTGGTCCTGTCCCGCAGCCCCCGGGCACAGCAGCAACGCGGGTGAGGTCCCCAGTGCGGTCCCATCGGCACCTTCCTCCTCCTCCTCCTCCTCCTCCTCGCCCCCGGACTGGACCCCCCCATCCCTCCACAGCCTCAAAACCGGGGGGGGCTGCAGGGCTTTGGAGCCTTCCTCCTCTTCAGGGGTCACCTCCTCATCACCCCCTGGGAAACTGAGCCCCGGCCCCAGGAGCGCAGACACGGGGGGGGGGGGACAAGGAGGATGCGAAATCCATATGGAAAAGAGAGGGATGGAGCCAGGGACCAGCTGGCAACAAGTATTGATCACTGGGCAGATCCAATGAGTCACAGCTAATGAATTACCCCTGCAGAGATGGGGAGGGGGGGCAGAGTGAATCCTGCCAGGGCAATGGGAACCCCTCATCAGGGGGCGCTGGTCCCCCCCCGGAACAAGATCTCCATTGTGGGACCCGCAGCAGCTCCTTCCCACAGGATAAAGCGCAGGTGGGTGAGTGCTGGGGACGGGGGGAGCAGGCTCTGGGTATGAACCTGCCCCCCAAAACCCGGCTTCTGCCTGGGGGCAGCACAGGGAGCCCCATCCAGCACCGCAACCCCACTGCTGGGTGACTCCAGGCTGTTTGTATGGAAGGGGGGGGGATGCTCCCAGCTCCCTGCTGCAGCCACTGGACGTGGATCCAAACTGGCAGGAGCAAAGTAGGGGCAAACGGGAGCAAAACGGTGGTTATTAAGCTAAAAGCATTATCTAAGGCACTGTCAGGAGCCAGGGCCCTGCTCCATCCCCGCAGGGACATGAAGGGACCCATAACTGAGGATGGAGCAGCGCTGCTTCCCTCCCATAGGAATTGCCTTCCCCATGGCCAGAGCTGGGTTACAGAGCCCTGGCACCAGCAGCAGGGGGTTGAAAAGAGAAACCTGAGGCACTTTTCACTATAAAAACCAACTCTTTTATGTAAAAAATAAACCTAAACAGAACCCACCCTCACCCCCCCCCTCGCTGCCATGCTCGTGACAATACAAAAGGCCGAGTCCCCCACCAGAACACCCCAAACCCAAAGTAGCTGGATCCAAATATATATAAATCATCACGTTACGAGATTGGAAATAGCACCCGTGGCCCAAAACCACCCCCTGCACCCTGGGGCAGAGTCCTGGTCCCCCTGTTCCCCCCTTTCTCCAGGAGCAGGAGCTGCTCAGAAAGCTGTCACAAGAGTGGAACGAGCCCCAGTGGGTCCCGGCTGTGAGGGGTGCAGCGATGCCAAGCAGCATTCCCAAGGGTGGGATGAGTGGAAGGGGTCTCCAAACTCCAATCTCACACTGCTGTTTAGGAGGAAGCCCACGCTTCCATCTGCACCGCAGGGCCAAGTAACAAAAAGAACAGGGAAGAGACAGGGAAAGAGCATCCTGAGCCCCAACCTCGGAGCCGGGGCCGCTCCTCCTGCATCCGGATGCTCCGAGTCTGCCCCCAGCAGCGGATCGGGGCTGACAACGGTCCCCACGTTATCCCCGCAGCCCCAGGCCCGTGGCACCGGGCCCAGCTCCGTGCATGGTGTGGGGCAGGCGTGTGCAGGAGCCCCGGGCAGGCTGGGGCTGGTCCCCAGGGCAGGGAAGAGGCAGAGCTGGGGCAGGGGGAACGGGATGAGGGCAGTGGCTGCCGCTTCATTTGGTGGGTTTGGTGATGATGCGGGCGGAGAAGTCGAAGAGGTTCTTGTTGATCTTCCGGAGGGTGCTCACCTCCTCCTCCAGCTCACTCACCTGGATCGTCAGGTGCTCCTGGTCCCCCACCAGGTTCTGTACAAGGGAAACAACACAGGGAAGCATCAGACACCCGGCAAGGGGATGCTGCGCACCCCAACCCTTTGGTTCGCTCCCTCCTTCTGCTCCCAGTGGACTCCAGAGCTTGCACCTCCCATCCCCAGCCTGCACAAGGCCCCAAGAGCTGGTTCAGCTGCAGAGGACCCCCAGGAGGTCTGCACCAGAAGGACTCCACTTCCCCATCATCTCGGAGCAGCTCTCACCTTTTCCCTTGTGGAGTACATCTGCGAGTAGGTTCTCCTGGCCTTCTCCAGGTAGCTCTCTCCAGACTCCTGCAGGGATCAGACAGGAGGGACTGAGACAGGCGACACAGGTCCGCTCCCAGTGCTCCCAGGCAGGGTTCCCTGCTGGAGCAGCCAAAGAACACCCCCTCTCCAGCCCCATGGGACAAAGCAGAAACAGAGCAGGGTACGGCCAGCCCTGCAAACAGCACCCGACAGCTCCTCCATCAGCTGGGGCAGGACTGACCCTCACCCGGGGGCAGACACTGATAGAGAAGAGCTCTGGGGGCACTGAAAGGTGAGCACCAACAGTGCAGGGCCCCCCTGCATGGGTGCAGCCATGCAGGGACCAAGTGCTCGCAGTGGTGGGGCAGCAGAGCCAGGCCGGGCTGCGGCACAAGGCTGGCAGGACAAATGACTGCAGCAGCCAGGAGGGATTGTGGAGCACGGGGAGGAAGGGGAGGAACAGGCTGTGCCATGCTGGAGATGGGAGCGTGCAGGGCTCAGCTCCTCTGCTGCCACTGAGAGCACTTGGGGGTGATGTTGGGGCTGTTCAGCCTGGAGAGGAGAAGCTGCGTGGAGACCTCAGAGCAGCTTCCAGTGCCTGAAGGGGGCCTATAGGGATGCTGGGGATGGACTCTTCATTAGGGACTGTAGTGATGGGACAAGGGGTAATGGGTTCAAACTGAAACAGGGGAAGTTTAGATTGGACATAAGGAGGAAATTCTTTCCTGTTAGGGTGGTGAGGCACTGGAATGGGTTGCCCAGGGAGGTTGTGAATGCTCCATCCCTGGCAGTGTTCAAGGCCAGGCTGGATGAGGCCTTGGGTGAGATGGTTTAGAGCGAGGTGTCCCTGCCCATGGCAGGGGGGTTGGAACTGGATGATCTTAAGGTCCTTTCCAACCCAAACTATTCTATGATGGCAGCATAGGGGAGATCAGCACAGGCTGTGGAGCAGCACGGAGCATCCAGCACTGCTGTGCCTGGAGGAGAGGGTTTGCAGCCTCCAGCACTGCATCCCCGCATCCCAGTACCTGCTGGTGGAGGCCCAGGCGCAGCGTGAGCCCCTCGCTGCCCTGCTCGTCGCTGCTCTCAGTGCCATGGAGGTGCCTGCTGAACTTGGGCAGGGGTGCACTGGGTTTCCCATCGGGGTTCAGCATGTTGGCAGGGGCCAGCACGATGAAGGCGTTCGTAACCGGACCTGCGATGGGACAAGAGGAGGGGATGGGTTAGCACCCAGTGCTCCTGTACTGGTTCATCCATCACACACCCTCCTTTGGCACAGCTCATGAGCATCTTAATTATTGCACTTACCCACACAGGCTCTCTCCCCCATACCCAAACCCTGTTCGGGTCAGACACAGCAACAGCCCTGCTCTGGTGTGTGAGCACCACACTAAAGCCCTGCCCATCCATCTCCCACCAGCTGCACTCAACAGCACCAAGGGGAAGGTTGAAAGGATCCAGATGCACCTAAGAGGGGGTAGGTGCCTGCCCAGTGTCCCAGCTGGAGGCAGTGGGAATGGTGCAGGGTAACAGAGGGAGCAGGGGAGGGATGAGGCTGCCTGATGCTTTCAGCCTCCGCAGAGATGGACCAAAGCACCTCTGATGCAGACAAGGGCTCCCCCTCCATCATCTCCCCATCTGGCTCGACCAGAGCCTGTCCCAAAGCCTATCCCTGCCTGAATCCCACTGGAAAACCAAAGGCTCTGCCAGCGCTCCCAGCCTGGCCCTGAAGCTGCTCTTTGCCAATGCTTTGCTGTAACAAACCTATGGTTTCCCTCTTGCTCCCTGCCCAAAGACAAGGCAATTGCTGGCTCTCCACAGGCACCCAGCACTGCCTTATCCCTGGCAGCAGGATGTGAAAGGAAGGGACAGGGCAGGCAGAAAGCAGGGCTCTCACAAGACCCCCCCATGGCACTCACAGCCCCAGTGCAAACACAAGTCCCATCTGAGCACCCCCTGTCCCAGTGCAGCAGCTGCCAAGGTGGGCAGAGGGACTGGGCTCAACAGGGAGGACACAAATAATCCAGCTTCCAACTGGGATCCCTGGGCAGGAGGGATCTGCTGGAGCATCCCTGGGCATGAAGGATCTGCTGGAGCATCCCTGGGCATGAAGGATCTGCTGGAGCATCCCTGGGCACGAGGGATCTGCTGCAGCATCCCTGGGCACGAGGGATCTGCTGGAGCATCCCTGGGCACGAGGGATCTGCTGGAGCATCCCTGGGCACGAGGGATCTGCTGGAGCATCCCTGGGCACGAGGGATCTGCTGGAGCATCCCTGGGCACGAGGGATCTGCTGGAGCATCCCTGGGGCAGGGGAAGCACAAAGGAGCTCGGGGATGGTCTGTGCCACACGGTGTTTGCAGAGGGAAGGATGGAGCTCATGCAACAGAAGGGAACTGGGGCCAGGGGGTTTGGGGCAGTGCTGGGACCAGAACCAGCCACACGGGTGACTGGGAGCATCCCTGCCTTGCCCAGCACAGAGCTCATTATCTGAGAGCAGCAGCCCAGTGCCTCTGAGCCCAGGCCCTGCCTCCCCCATCAAGGACAAGCAAACCTTGCAGGAAAAGCTCCCTGCATGTCTCCTGCTGCACAGTCACACTCCTCAAGCCCGGAGCCACGCTCCAACCCCTCTGTCTGTCTGCAGCAGCACCAAGGGGAGGGCAATGCCTCCCGAGCACACCAGGCTGCAGGAGCAGCAGGAGAGCTCCTGCCAGCATTGCCTTGGGGAGGGAAAGGCGCAGGGAATGCACTAGGGGGGCAGCAGGGATGAGCCTGTGCCCATCTGCACTCCCCTGCAGCCTCAGGGCTGGGGGGGGGGTGTTTAATGCCTGATTCTGGTGAC